AAAAAAATTAATATTAATAATAATAATTCACAATGGGTTACTGTAAATATGTGTAACGTATTACTTTAATAATTATTGCTACCATTTTTCTGGCGAACGTTTTGACCTCATAAATTCAAGTCGGCAACTCCAAGCAAGGTTATCGTGTTTGATAAATGTGGAATTGTAAACTGAATTTCATGAGATATAATATCATGTAGAATGTACCTAAATTTATAAAAAATATTAAATCATAAAAATAAAATCATAAGCTCATATGCAAAATTAAAGGCCTCGATATCTTAATGAATTTTTGTATGAGTATTTTAAATTAAACAGATTTTTTATTTACATGAAACGAGAATAAAATATGTCTTTACTTTAGTAAATAATTTTGTAAGATAAGCCTTGAAAGAATTAATTTGAGCGAACAAACAGGTGTAAATCGTAAATGTATTGCTTGTTTCATCAAAATATTGATTTAAGATTGCTACATATAGACAACATGTAACATTATTTCAAGCAGTTTTTTTTCGCTTGATTATATTCATGACTTTTTCATAATTTCATAATTATTCACATGGTAAAATTATTACAATCATCCATGATAAATTATTTTGAACGTTTTAATTAAAGTTTTCAACCTATTTCAATACATATTACCTAAATATATATTTGATTGTGAAAAACGTATTTATCAGTCATTTATGGCACAGGATGAAATCTAACTATTTTTCCTAAATATGTGTTTGCATTTGGTCGCATAAATGACAACTTTGATTGAAAACCTTCCAAGATACATCGCATGAAAAAGGTTAGTTAAACTTTATGCATGTGCTTTACAAGTGGTCACTTTATGATGAGAACCATCGGGGCCTCGCCTTATACAGATTTTAATAATTATTTTAATATCATTAATTTTTTTTTCTGTGCGAATGCGAAAATGACTTATCAAATTGCTACTACTATGTAGATTAAGTCTTGGTGTACATCTCCCATAAATGCAGTTTATCAAGTCTATGATGATAGATATAATTTAATTGTTTCAGAAAATCGATATCGTTAAAATACATGGGTTAAATAGAAAAAAAGTACACAATGTATATTATTGCACAAAAACGGAACACTATAGAATAAAATCGCATCTTCGTAGGATAATACTTTAAAGAAATTCTGTAAATGTAATTATTTAGTGTCTATGGTCATTAAATACATACCATTATAATATTATACTTGTTCGCTCATAAACGATTTCGTAAAATTTTGAGTCCTTGAATAAACGTTATATGAAACTGTAGTCGTACATTTATGTTTCATTACAAATTTCATAATACACTTGAATGAAAAATGTGTTATGTTAGTAAATATTAATGATATACCAAACTCGTTATTTAATGCAATTCACAACGAACGGAATGATGAATAAAAATATATCAAAGTACACATAAATATATATATATATATATATATATCGTATAACATCTAATAACATGTAATCGAGTACCTGGTACACAATAATATGATATGACGTGCGTTCGGTTTCGGTGAAATTTTTTGTACGTAGAACAAGATATATGTAACAGGTATGAAAAAGAATGCAAAAAAAATATATCAAAACGTTTGACTACAATAATAGTTCTAAACTGTGTATCTGTGTAATTTGGAACATAAATATTTTCGTAACAGACCCTTCCAGCATAACCACTGGAAGAAGGTTTTGTCGGTCATAAAGAAATATCGGGTGCCTAAATCAAAATTAAAAAAACTGTCTTCCTATGAATTTCGTTTGACCGCTACGGTTGCACCGTCCCACGTGAAATCGATCGGCTTAACGACTGAAAATGACCACTTTTTTCGCGGATTTCTGTTACATTTGCGTGGAAAGGTTTTTGAAGACGTCAGTGTGACGTTGTACGGACAACAAGAAAGAACACGTAAACGTTATTTGCCACTCAACTAAATGGGGGAGGGGGAGGGTGGTGAGCATTCTTATAAAATTACGGATGTTGTGCACAGACGTTTGTGAGTCGGCTACGTACTGTACTGCGGCGTGTTACGTGCGCTCGTCATTACAATAAATTATGAAAATTCGAATCTTCTACGTTAGATCGTACACATCTCGGGACCGACGTGGAAGATCGGCATATTTCTTCTTGTCATTACGACGATAAAACCGTTTATCCTTTCACTTCCTATTACAAACGCGGTCGTACCACCTGCACTTGTGCGCACTAGGTGTGTTCATCGCAATCGTCGTGATGCGCACGTACGTATTTGTACAAGCGGTAAATACGTGTAGTACACCGTAATCGTAAACCATATACGTGTATTACAAATGTATATGTACATCACGGCCAGGGCCGTCAACGGGACCGTTTTGCTCCGGTCTAGGAAAATTTAAAGTAGACACTTGAACGGTTTTTCAGTCGTTCGTATCATCTCGGTTTTCCTCGCGTCCGATTCGCATGCCACTTTTACGCGAACCCGGACCGTCGGATCCCGGAGACGTGAGCGCGCCGAGCGATCCGGATTTCGCGTTTCAGCGGGTGTTCCCGTCCGAACGAACGAATCGGTCAAGTTACGCGGCTTCCGCGCGGTTGTTCGACTTTTCCCGCGAAATCCTAATCGGCCCAGATTAGGTTAACGAGTGCACGTCGGTCCGATGGATCGGAAGGCGGTGCACGTGTGCGATCGCGACGTCGGCGCGGCGCGCAACGGCGGTCGTACGCGATGGAAAAGTGCGCGGCGGATCGACGGCGGGCGAATAAGAAGCGTAACGAGAGGAAAAGAGAGAGAAAGAGAAAAACACCCTCCGGCGGCTGACTGCAGCGTGCTTATAAATACATACGTATAAACGCGCGTGCACGAATGCAGAGGGGTCGGCAGCCGATTCCGGGAGACGGGGCGCGCGCGAGGGCTAGCCGCGAAGGGACGACGGATGTAGAGGACGAGAGAGAGAAAACGAGAGAAACGGGTCGAAGGGGGAGGGGGAGAAAAAGTCAAGGGTGAAATGGGGCCGGCCGACGGCCATTAATCAAAATCCCGTGACATATTGCTGCGCGTTACACCACTGCTGTACGCGTGCACCCGCGTTCCGTCCTCGTGCAGCCGTCGTCTGTTGTACGCGCGTCGTGCGCTGCAGTTCGCGCTGCGCGTGTGCGCGCGACGGCCAATACACCCATTGACCTAATCTCCGATTTCCGTCGATCGATAACGTAACAATGTTATTCTGTCATTTTACCCGGTCCGAGTTGCGCGACGACAGGTTTCCTCGGAGTTGGCGGTTATCCGTGGGGGGAGGAGATAGGAGAACGCGACTCGAAAACGGCTAGTTTCCTTATGTCGGACGTGTTTACCGTTGATGTGTTTTGCGTTTTGTACCCCGTTCTATCGTCGTACGAGAACCGAACGGAAAAACGTGCAGTACACGATCGAGAGAATAGCACGGCCCGAACATACGAGCGAATCAACTTATTTGTGTTCCGAAATCGGTGGGAACCGGACGCGTCCGAGGGTTCGAAAATTATTCGGCGCATAACGATCTGAGAAAAAAATTATACCAATCTCGTTTTTTTTTCTCGATCGGATCTCGTTCTAAGTGTGCGTCTACATCGTGATTATCGGGTATAAATACAATTGCATTGGCAAGGTCGATCGCGGCTGATGAAAACATCAAAAATATCAAATCGATGGCGGTGCACAATGAGGTTTACCGCACAGGCGATTCTTCGTCGTCCGATTTCGCTTTCATTGAAAATTTTTTTTTTTAGCGAAAATTCGATGCGCTAACCAAACACACATGCATGCACACGAGTGAGTCAGTTTTTGTTTTGTTCTTATATTTTTTCTTTGAATTTTGTTCTTTTTTCCACTCGGTGTGACGCTTGAGCAACTAACGAGATCCAAATGGTCGAACAAAAATCATTATGCGGACCAACCAATACTTGAAAGCGTGCATACAATTGCATGATATCGTCAAGCGGAAAGAGTACTTATTTCGTGGGAACGATAAGAATCGTCTCGGAAAGGATGAGCACAGTATGACGAGGAGACGCGCATTTATACATGTAACGACGTATACTCGGATGATTTTTCATTATTATTATTTTTTGTATATTTCGATAATAAGTTAACTACAATTTATTACAATTGTTAGTAATAATAATAGCGACGATAGATTTAATACATAATAATTAATAAAAAATAAAAAAGGAAAAACGTATTGCAATCGTGTCCGTTGTGTTTGAACGTTTTACAAAACATTTATTTTTTATTCTTCTTGCATTCATACGGCGAGATGCGCAAGACGAGTGTTTTTCTACTATTATACATAAACAATTGTGTTAAAACATTAATAAAAAGGTCCATTTTAATACAATGATTATATTTACTCATCTTCACGGCGACTTTCATTTGTACAGCGATTCAATTGAAACTAAATAATAATAATAATAATAATAATAATCATAAAAAAAAAAAACGCGACAATAATAATATCATAAGACAACAATTTCTAATAATAATATATATATGTATATATAAATATAATATAATTTATAGCAATAATTATTATTTTGTACAGGAAATATTTAACACGAGCGAAAGGAAACAATGTAATAAATAATATATTATTATTATTATTATTAATTTTATACACGTATATCGTCACATAAGTCATATAAATAGTATAACTGAGTAGTGAATATAAAAAAATGTACAAACTTGCGACGCGATGCAATAGACACACGTTTTTTTTTTTTTGCTGTGCAAAGACTAAAATCTATTACGTATTATTTTTTTTTATTATTTTTTTCATTTTTCACTACAACGAACCATTATCGTATTGACGAGTCGAGATTATAACCAACAGCAAGAGAATATTTTATTATAATATCGTACAAATCAACAAAAAGTAAATAACACTATCCGGAGACGGATCTCACACGCGGGCTGTATAATAAAATATTAGAATTTCACGTTTAAATAATAATAATAATAATAATAATTATACGAAACAAAGGAAACGTAACGATCTGAAAAAAAAAAAATTAAAAATATAGTTAACATAAAAACAATATAATATTTAAATACGTTTTGAACGCGCAATCGGAGCGAATACGGCACCGAAACGAGGAGAGTGGCGCGACCAACGATCGGTTAACAAACACGTGCGGACTTACCGCGAAATCAATGTATTTCTTTCTGCCCGAACAGAAAGCGCTCGCTCGGTTTCGATTCTATCACGAAGATTGTACTCTACTTCAAACCAACCATTATACGTGTTTTCTTGTCCGCCGTCGCATTAAAAACGGTAAGTTTCGATAAAGCGTTGACAGTTTCGCCAATGTTGCGTATTTATTTATGTATAGGAGCGTATAGGAGGCGCGTACTCGCGCTAGTGAGTATCATCGAACTGCAATTGTGCTGAGTTATAAGAAACCGTTTGGAGTTCACGAAGGTATTCCGCGAAAAGTCCACGTGAACCGTATCGACATCGAAGAAAATCGGCTGATCGACCCGATCATCTACGAAAAGAAAAGAAAGAGAAAATAATCGTAAAAGCAACGACGCTAAAAACCAAAACCGGAACGGAATAAAACCTAATACAAGTTCATAAAAATAATAGTAATTACAGTAAAAATAACTAAACAATAATAATAATAATAATAATAATAATGATGATGATGATGATGATAATATCATCTTGGAACGAACGCGCGTACTGACATCGGCGTGTTAGTAGTAGAGCGAATCTCAGCTGAGCTGATAGTACTCGGGTGCGAACTCGTTGGCCAAGTTGCTGAGAAAGTTGAAATCGGACGAGCTGTTGCTGTTGTCGTGCACGCCGCCGTGGTGATGGACGTGCGGCGGCGGCACCGGCACCGGCGGCTGCTGCTGCTGCGGATGGTGCGCCATGACGGCCGCCGCGGCCACCGCTGCTGCGTTCCCGGTAATGGGGGCCACGACAGCCGCGGCCACGGCGTTCGGCTGCTGCTGGTGCTGTTGATGGTGGTGCTGTTGGTGCAGCGACGACGTCTGCTGGTGACAGTGTTGTTCGCCGGCGCCGGTGCCGGAGCCGGTCGTCACTACCGTCCCCGCACCGTTGTAGAAATGATGGAAGCTGTTGAAGTGGTCGCCGGACGAGTCGGCGGCCGCGGTCACCCGCACGCTATTCGGTGGCGTCATGGTCACGGACGAGCCGTGCGCGTGGAACTGGTCCACGAACGCGGCATCCAGCTCGGGCACCGCGGCCACGACGACCCCGGTGCCGGTGCCACCCGCGGCCACGGGGTCCACGTAATACTGGCCCGGGGTCGTAGCCGATTTGTTGTACCTGAGCTGCTGCTGCTGCTGCTGCTGCTGCTGGTGTTGCTGGTGTTGCTGGTGTTGCTGCTGCTGCTGCTGGTGTTGCTGGTGCTGTTGATGGTGCGACTGTTGGTGAAGCGACTGCTGATGGTGATAGTCCATGTTGTACAGCGACCCCGAGTGGTTTTGGTGCTGCTGGTGGTGCTGCTGTTGTTGGTGATGTCCGGTGCCGACCATATGGTGCGCGTTGGCCGCGTACCCTTGACCGGTCGCCTGGTACGTGCCGGTATAGCTCAGATGATGGTGATGATAATCGTCACCACCGGCGGTGCCACCCATGCCGCCGTAACCACCGGTGGGCTGGTGCTGTTGGTACGCTTGACGGTGGTGGTAACCGACAGTGGGCGGAACGATAGTGGCCGAGGCTTGCTGATAAGCCTCACCGGTACCGCCGCCGGCGCCGGCCGTCTGATAACCGTTGTAACCGTTGCAATACTGCTGCTGCTGCTGTTGCTGATGCGGTCCGTAACCCTGGTACTGCTGACCGCGGCAGTGGCCGGTACCGGACTGTTGTTGCTGCACCCCTCTCTGAACGGAGCTCTGGACGGCCGCTCCGGACTTGGACTTGAATGACGAAACGGACGACGGTGGCGACGACGTCTCCGGTGACATGTACCAACGACTTTGCGCGGCGGTGGCGGCGGCCGGGTACTGCGACAAGTAACAGCCGTCCGGCTTGTTGGCGAAACTGTTCTGTTTGTTGTACTGCTGCCTGCCGTATCCGTCGGCGGCCGCGACCCTCGAGTACGGCGACTTGGCCGCTTGCCCCGCAGCGCCGACCACGGACGTGGTGGGTGGAGTCGGTACCGAGTGTTCGAGCTGCTGTTGCTGCTGTTGCTGCTGCTGCTGCTGCTGGTACATGGCCGTGGCAGTGCCTAATGGACTGGACAACGCGGTGGACGGCGTGTCCGGAGTGGACGGCGTGAGGCTGCCCACGGACGTGCCACCGCCTTTGAGTGACTTGCCCACTTCCGGCGAGATGTCCGGCATCAGCCTTATCGGGTCCTTTGGGCACATGACGCCAGTCGTCACCGCCGCGGATTTCTTACCACCGTTCGACTGTTCCGACTTGCAACCCGCCATCGGCTCCCGCTTAACCGCGGCCATGTGCATGATGCCCTCGTTGGACCGCGAGTCGTCCTCCATCTTGGTGTCGAACGAGCTGACGCTGCCCCCGCTGCTCCCTGCCCCGCTGCTGTTCCGGCCGGTCACGTGGTCCATCATGATGCCGGGTGGCAGGTCGCAGTTCTGGCAACTCTTCTTGTCGTCCATCTGGTGCTTGTCCCCGGCTCCGCCACCCCCGCCGCCTGATGACTTGCCGTGCTGCTTGCCGGTCGTCGTGCCCGAGCTCTGCGAGTCCTTGTCGTCACCATCCTCGCCCTGCTTGTTGATCGTCTGCCGCTTGTGTTTCATTCGCCTGTTTTGAAACCACACTTTCACCTGAAACGTCCGACCGAATAAGTTTTTCATTTAAATGTTTTCTATTGGGGAAAATATACGTATTTTAAATAATCGGATACGTCGCGTGACAATCCGCCAGCGGTGTTCAAACAATTTTCGTTCAAGTCTCCCGCAAAAAAATAAAACAAGACACACGTGATCATCTCGATATATATTTCTACTCAAACGACAAGAGTAGTTGTCCATAATTAATAATGTATTCGATTATTTCTGCATGCCGCGCGGTTTGGGAACCGTTGAACAATACATAATACACAACAAACGGCAGCAAAACAATAACACGATTATTATAATAATAATAATATAATCGGTAGAAAAGATGTATTATTATATTTTATGTATAATATTGTTCTCATTGTTGTATCAACTCGCGCTGTTACAGTAGTGTTACACACGTACCACGAACTTATTGTACCCATGGGAGCGTGACACGTTTTTTCCCTTCTCTCTCTCGTTTTCCTACCCATGTCGCTAGTTCTCTCCTCTCTCTCTCTCTCTCTCTCTGTTTCGCGTCCAAATTACTATTTAATAGGACCGCGAACCGTGTATATACCGTGCATACCATGCTGTACCTGTGTACAAACACAGCTTTCCCGCGTGTACGTACTGTACATGCATCGCAGCGTTTCACCCAAACACCGTTTCCGTTGTGCGTTTGCACGACATACACACACACTAACATACATACAAACACACACATACATACACAAGCTATTTATACGATTTCATCATTATTATTATTCACGACATGGTCGAACGCGGCTCGAAACGTGAAATTGTTTCTGTTTTTAAATCCGTCAAAAGCCGCAAGAACAATTGTCGGTGCCGACCTCGCCATCCCAGTACCGTCACCGTCTTGTCCTTATGGTGTCCGCCCACGACGCGTGCGACAAAACGTTGTTGCGACTTAAGACGTGGAGAAATCCGCTGGAGACGCGAAACAAATCACAGGACTTTCACTGTTGGAGGACGATGACGGGTAGGACTATTAAGATTTGTCACGTCCACCAGTGTAAACGAACGAACGCGATGAGTTTTCGAAAGGGGTGGTCGGCATTTTTTAAAGGGTTGTGCGTATATTAATCTATTACTTCCCACACCGTTCACTAGATGCGTCCAAGTTCTGCGCGTACCACACACGTGCAACGTATTGGATTTCGACGAATCGTTGTGGACAGTGTTTACTTCAAACCTTCTATCCCGGGGGAGAGGATATCGAAAATTTTTGGGGGAGGGAAGATATGTAACATGCGGTATGCCACACGAGTAAATAGTTGATAAATAAATAAACTTTTTCGGGGTAGTATACATTTTTCTTTAGGGGTTAATACCACCCCTCCTGAAATAAACGCTGGTTGTGGATTCGGGAGGCAATCAAAACGACAACCGTAACCATGCGTCGCGTACCTTATCTCACCGAGGTCCGTAACCGAGTCGTGCACGTGTACACGGGTCCACCGCTGTGTTACGAAGACAAGAACGATAGGAATTCGATCGCGTCCGGCGATTCGGAAAGTGAATTTAATCGTATTTCGTACAGCGTTGTCGAAACAACACCAAGCGCGATGACGATTATAATAAAATCTCGACGATAATGCCATATCCTACACTGCGACGCTCTATCATTGCGAACGCATCTCGTCATCTGGTCGTCCCAGGATCATTTTCTCCTTGGGAACTGCCTCCCGGGCAACCCGTGGTAATGCGCGTACATACGAAACCATGTCATTTTTTTTTAGGAAAATATATATTATTTTATTATCGTCTCGTTCAAGGTCCGAGTTCATTGAAATGCCAGCGCACCATAAATTAAACGCAGTAATCGCTGGGAAACCGATTTTATAACGCCGAAGAGCATAACGTGAAATAATAATAAAACAACTGCAGTAGGTGTTCCGCTACGGGTTTACAATGCGAACGTATGACTGGCCAAGACCTGTAATTTAATGTCATTTAATTTTTTGTTTTTTTGTTTTTCACGAATATGATTTAAAGCTGTTTTTATTTTATTTCGTTTTATTTTCATTTTTATTTTTTTGTTCACTACAATTAGAATAAAAACCCGGAATAATCATCGAGTGGACGACTGTTTTTTCACGTAGCGTTTCTTAAACCGTAATTATTTTTCATTTACGTTTGGTTTACTGGTGGTTTTTTATCCTCGTACTTCTCCGAACAGCGGATTCGCGAATACGACCCGCAAAACGGTATACGACAGTACATCGAAACGGGCGTATCAAACATAATACGAATACATTATTTTATTTACCTGTCTCTCGGTGAGGTCCAGAGAAGCGGCGATTTCTATTCTCCTGGGTCGACACAGATACTTGCTGAAATGAAACTCTTTCTCCAGTTCCAGCAGCTGGGTGTTAGTGTACGCGGTGCGAAGTCTCCTGGGTAAACCGTTTTCTGAAATGTACGAGAAAAATAAATAAATAACAAAACCGTGAACAATTGGAATATTATCGAAGTGTATAGGAGGCATATGATTATGAATCGTGTCAACCTCGGCGTTATTAATTGTGTAAAACCCCTATTGGCGGCATCTTAGTTGTTTCGCCTTCACATCTGACAAATGACATTAATAAGATGAAAACACAAGGCATAAATGAAAAATAAAATAAAATGAAATAAAAACATATTGGTTCTAACGTCCCTAATGACCGGCGTCGCAGAGATAAATTTTGACCCGATGACGAGGCATCCGAAGCGTACACAAGGGAAGGCCGACCGCATTTGTTTTCATCAAACACATTCTGCGCGCGGCAGTGAAACGTGTTATTTTATTTTTTCTGAAAATAATATCTCACCGTCTTCGGTGTTTCGATTTTAAAACGCGTCATTTCCGTTCTGCATCCGCCACAATATTCTCGTCGATTTCAATACCCGCTCGAATGGAATAACGTCACGACGAGAAAGAAAGAGAAAGAGAGAGAGAGAGAGAGATGTAGAGAGAGAAAAATATAGAACATTCTGTATTCGTCGACTTTTAAAAATAACAAATTCCGAGTTTCTATTGAATCGAAAACACTCTCTGGAATTGCGTACATAAATAAGTCAATGGTTAACGGTCGCAGTAGAATAGGTATCTGGCAAACACTACATAATTACGTATTATATCATATCAATGCGCTATATTTATGGGTTTTCTTAGACGATCCGACGAAATCGTCGAACGTGTATGACGCCATGGTTAATCACTACTAAGCTATAATAAGACGTATAAGTAAAAAAAGTGTTTTCAATACGGATTATATTGCGTTTGTAGTACCAAAAAATGTGTGTAAACATTATGATATTCGGTAGAGAGAGGGAGATATAAAAAAACTGTGATCAGAGCGAAAATGGTTAAGAGTTGCACTGTTCGAGGAAACGTTACATTTTTCAATCCAAACGAGATCTTTACTAGTGATTTGCAATTATCGGGTATATATTGAACGTCGCGTTGCGCAGAACTGTAGACATCATCAACATTCAGTGAATAGCGGAAATACTTGCGGCGGAGTGAACACCACCGTCTCCACGAGCTACGGAAACCGATCGAACAGAGAGACGGGCTGCAGGATATTTTAATAATGAGAATTCAAATGACAAAGTCCTGGCTGTGCATAGCAGGTATATATAACATATAATATATGTGTATACGCGTGTGAATATATTATACGTGAGTGCGTACGAGTGTATTCCATCGGAATAACGTATATATATATAAATAGGCCGTGGGGTGGAATTTGATTTTTGAGAGTCCCTTCTCCGTCGTTCGGTAGCACATACAATGACGACGACGATATGACAGAAAGATAGACGTGTAGGGGTGGGGGGTGGGGTACGACGATGAGAGAGGGTTGGTTAGGTGGAATCGAAGGCGAACGAAATAGTAGGATATATCTCAGCAACGCAGCAAGGGTCGAGCAGCAGTAGTGGAAACTGCAAAGAGTGAGAGAGAGATGGAGAAAAAGAGCTGTGCGTGTGCTGTACGTATAGTCCGCGACGAGAAATCGACCGGAGGGCGTCCGTCGTTCATCAGTCATCGTCAAATCTCATATATTGTATATATATATATATATAAATAAATATAAAAGCGTAACGGCTAGGCGGTATATATGTACACACGAGACCATATGTCGCCAGGTAAAATTTAATATCGCCCAAGGACGCAACGAGAGTTTGACTGGATGACAATAAGCGCTACACGAGACCGACTTACTACGTGTGTGCGTGTGTACTTCTTTCGTGTGCACACATGTACATGTGTTGTACACGCGTACATATTATTATTGTTGTACGTACGAATATATGCGTTTTACTGGAGCGCGAGTGAGTTGGGGTTATACGTGTGTACAACGGAGGCGGCGGCGGCGGCGGCGGTGACATCATTTATTGGGGTCCCGTTTCGGGTTTCGTTTGTCAGTCGTTCTCGTCCGTTTGCTACACATATACATAAACCGTTATTATATTTACCGGCGGTGAAGAGGTATTACGACTGCGACGACGACGGACCGGCTGGCAGAGGCCATTGAGGCGGTTAAGCATTTTTGTTTCTGTCCCGCGAACAAACATTTCTTTCGCTTTTCCAATATAAAACATCCGAAAGTCATCCCGCGCGCATCCCTTCCCCTGTGAGCCCCGACACCACATAAAGTTAAGAAAAGTTGCCGTATTCTTTTTTCATTTTTTTCGTTTTTTTTTTTGTTTTTCCATACGAAATCGCTCCCTTTTTTACCCCGCTGCCGACCCTTTCTACTATACGCGCGTTGTGTTTTTTTCTAGACCGGTAAAAGAATTTTTGATTAATGATATTACATTGATTTTTTCGTCGCGCTCATTTCCCTCCATGAATTTTACTTATTTCTTTTTTTTTTTTTTTTAAGTTTTTGTTTTGCATATTTCTCTCGGTTTTCTTTTTGACGATGGCGCACGCGCATCGTATAATCTTAAGAATTTATGCGTTTGACATAACTACCTATACATTTTTCTCCCTTCGTATACTGCGCACACAAACGAACTAATAACTTTTCTTTTTTTTTAGCGGTATTTTAATCGTTCATTACAAACCAATGTTTATTTATCGTACAATTGTTATTTTTTTATTTATTACTATCGATGGATATTTTGATAGGGGGAGAAGGACACGAAAAACGCACGCGCTTCATCAATTAATATTATTATAATGATAATTATTATTATTTTATTATTATTATCATTATTATTATTATTATTATTATTATTATTATTATTATTACTACTACACTCGCGTGCGCGGTACAAAGCAGTGATAATAGCGGTAAGTCTATATAATATACACTAGCGTGCGGCGTTTGTTACAAGTAATTTATCAAAATATCCGTATACAGCCAAAGACATCGGTAAACTTTTGACGTTTTCAATGAGAGACCGTTTATACTTGTCGCGCGCCTCAGCCGTCGATCCAATAGAGAGGGCTTACGGCGAGTGTGTGTGTAATGATATTCTCAGCTTTTTCTTCGAAAATCCGTAGACCCAAGCAAGTTGTCGAGCTGTTTATGGGTCGGCAAAGGGTGATGACTACGACGAGTGGCGGAGACGTGGCGGGACGTATAAAATGGTTACGGGTCGGGGAGGTAAGTAAAATTTTGGCCGAGAGTGTCGGTTGCGGATAGGGTGAGTGCGACGACGACGTTAACAAAAGGCCCTCGACGCTCGCGTGTAAATAACATAATCTCTCGTTCAACTGAAATCATCGCGGGTTTGTTGCATTGTGCTTCCTCGGTCGCCGCATACCTATATCATACAGGTAATCTTACACATTGGTATAAAAGTTTGATGAAACACCTAACGCTGCAATCGTGTATGTTCGTTCACGTGTGCCTAACATGCATACGATTGTTTGTTTTGATACGTTTTCGATATTAATCTATCGTGTTACACAGGTCAACACGATGTCTGATGTTGCTATCTAATGAAAATCAACGGTTTATTATGATGTGTGCAAGTATCGTCAGCTTGTAACCAACTTACAAGAATATTGAAAAGTTTTTTCTGGTCGAAAAAAAAATAATAATAACAATAATAATTTTACACGATCGTAGAATGTTCCGAGACACAAACGATGACAACAACAGGTTTTGTACAGCAATAAGTGTGGATACACCACGAAAAAATTAACCCAAATAACGTTATCGCGTGTGTATCATTTCAAAACAAAAACATACCCGTAACAGTATCAAGGAAACGTACAGCGCGTAAAATATATATTTCTGCTCTTTCATATATACCTACTTACCACCAAAGGTTAAAATATATACTTTTTCGTACTGCAAACTTAAGAATTTTGTCATACTCCCCTTTCAAACGTTAACAGTTATGAGTAACACAATTAAAATAGTTAGTACTTTCGATTTTGCTGATGATACTCGTTCATCTTGGAATTTTAAAAATATGAATCACAACACACTTTTTAATTTCGTACTACGCACTCAACATTTCGTATTGCACAAAATGTGTCGTACTTCACACAATTTTAGTCTCTGCTTACCACTAAACGTAGTTTCATGTATTAGGATTACCACGTATACGTTTTATTTTACCGGTTAAAATTGCATCGTCGACACGATGTAAGGGTATATGTTTTATGAACCGAATCAAAACAAACATGATGCAATCGACTCTCGATAATTCAAAATTGACGGGAATTATTCGAACTACCGAGAATTCGAATTATTGAGTAGTTCGAAAAAACGGGAAAGCAAAAAAAAAAAATTCAAATTACTGAGTTAAGAGAAAAATTTTGTTTTTTATTGTACATAATTATTAATTATTTCAGCAAATTAGGTGGTATTAGTTATTTATTGTTTTTAAAATGTAAATTTTAACTATATAATATTTGTACTGTATAAATTAAATTATAATTATAATATATTATTATTTTTTGAAGAAATTTGTAATGATATTCTGTTTTATTAAATTTAGTTACATTTTTCAATAGTATTTTTTGAATTTGACGCACTCACCACAAGAAATTTACAACTGACCAAACGAGACTAAAATAAAACTACATTCGGCTGACGGCTATCGAAAAAATTACGATTAATGACGATTAAGAAATAAAACGATAAGGTTCTCACAATATTAATTCTATAGTTATATATATAGTGGACAGCCACGGGGAATTAAAAAATTTCCACTGTAGAGAATTAATTATACATTGTACATGATCATACACAGAATATTAATTTATTATTTAATATATATATATATATATATATATATATATATAATATGTATGTATTAAAAAATGAGTATAAAAATGCTTATAAAAATGTTCAATGATTATGTACAGTTAAAAAATTCTGTAATGTTATTCATCTGTATTTTTCATTAAACGAGATGTTTTTTAGATAAATTAAAATAAAATATTTAAATTTACCTAT